CCCCAAAACCCCAAAACCCCAAAACCCCAAAACCCCAAAACCCCAATGTGAATAATCTTATTGAAATTGAATTAAATGATTTACTACTTTATGTACTCTCTTCTCTGTAGAAAAAGTCTTCATTGCACTGATTATGAAATACAGGATGAGAATTGTTCCCACTATTTTGCCCATTCTGGTCTTGGTCAATCCTATTGGGAGAGGAAGATGACTGAAAGCTCCCATTGGCATCAACAATCATGTTCCTCCCGCTACTGTTGAGAGATGACATTCTTCGTTCTGAGCTATTTCCTCAATATGGTCTAATTTCTCTTAGACAATAATTTTTCTCTACCATATCCATCATTTGTTGGTATAGCGTATTCTCGCTTTGAGAGCAATCAGAGTACATCCTGAGATCGAGCTGTGAGTATTCTGATAGAGGGAAGAACATCCTTTTCTGGATATCGTACACCATGTGCTTATCCACGTGTAGTTGGGAGATGATCACTTTCACTGGAACTTTGGAGTTAAACACTATTTTCTCAGTTCCACTATAGGATTAGCTGCAAACTTACTCTCTTTCCCAGATGGTTTCTACTTCTCAGGGCACTAAGGTGATTATCTCGTTGCCTTTGACGTTAAGCTCCCCTTTATTTTAAGTCAATATGCGTCGACATTGCTGATGTGCTGACTTCATGAGGGTTTCCTCACCGATCAATGAAGAACTTTTTGGAAGGATGTTCCATCTCTTCAGAGGACCTGTTAAAGGAGACTTCATTGCTCGATCTTTTGAGCTTCATTCTGAAACTTTCCTCGACACTTCTGATTTTACTCTTCTTTGCCTTTGGGATCAGTGGCTCCATTTTAGTGAAGTTATCCTTGCCTCTATAGCCCATGAGAGATGGAAATTACTTGATGTATGTAGACCCAGTGGGAAATTGGGATCTCTCCAGACTCTCTGGCTTGATTAAGCTCTCGATTTCTACACATTAAACCCTTTCAGCTCTTGTTAACTTACTTATATTCAAGGGGCGATTCTTGAGGAAGAAGTCTACTGGGTCTTCAGCCCCATACTGCTTCTTGATCATCTCAAAGAACTTCTTAGCATGGTTCCGAATTTGGTAACTCGTTCTACTAGGTATCGATTTCTCGAGTTTTTGCCAGTCTTTCCCATAAGTTTTCAGGCCTAGAAAGTTACATGAGGTGCTCACATTCAATGAAGAGTTGATGTTCATTAAGTTTCAGCCTATCAGCTAATTCCTTTCTCTCTTCTTTATCTGGGAACTTTGATAGGTTCTGAATGGTTAACAATTAGGCATACTAAAGGTGTAATTTTGCACTCTCCGGAGTTTGGATGCTTCCTGGATGAGTCAATCTCTCTATTCGTGCTCTTTCTCTTATCTATAAGGTCGTATAAGTTAGGAACAAAGGAGGTTCTCTGACTAGATTAAATTTTTGTTGTTTAATATACCAAGCACATTGGATTTCCAAAGCATTAGGCTCTTCTGGTTGATTTAAAATTTTTTGGCTAAATATCAAGAGAAAATAAACTTTTATTTCAATACTGAGAAAAATATTCCTAAAACTCTAGTGATCTTTCATTAAATTCTAAACCGCAGCCGCTCTATAGCCTCCAAATTACAAAGAAAAGGTTTTCTTCTAACAATTTGTAATTTTTTGCTAAAATTCTATGAAATCTCTGAATTTCCTCAATATTCGTGTGTAAATTCCATCACTAATCCGAAAATTTGCAGAAATATTTCTTAACCTACTATCTTCTGATGATGCTTCTGCTTAATAACAAAGCCCAGATAATTAATGGTAACTCAGAGCTCTACCCGTATGAGCCTCCTCAAGACGCTCTCCTTCACTCCCAATCAGGATGTTTAGTATTTGAATCTCAGAATCTTAGAAGTTGGTTGCTAATCTAAGGAGTAAATTTTTCAAAAGCTTTTGCAACAAAGTTCCCATAGGTTAAAAAATTCGGAAAATATAATAAAAATTGCTGAAATCCCCTGGGACCCTCTAATATCCCTTTCTTGGAGAGGCGACAAATTGCTGCCATAACATTTTACGATATCACTTCATGGAGTTTGTCGTTAGATTATTTCTCAAGAGGTTTTGCAGCGATAGAGAGATTCCAAAAACTCAGGCTAGTTATTATCTTAAATGGTGAAGACGCCCGGGTCAGATTAGTGACTGAAATAGGCAGATTGCTTACATTCACTGTATTTCTCGTCTTCCATCTTGTTAATTTTAATATTTATTAATTTTGGGTTAAAATTTTCCTTTTAAAGCAAGATCTCTGAAGATTTTCCCGACCAAAGTTCTGAAACTTTGTCTTAAGAATTCCCAAATCCCATCAATAAATGTTGTAAGCCTAATATCACCGTGATAACTAGTTTATGAGTCGAGGATCTTGCTGTCAGACATGAACTCTTCAAAACGGTGGTTGGATTCACCACCATTGGCATGTTTGGACAAAGTCTTCAGACTAGCTAGGGATGCTTCTAATTAGGTATTACTGACTTTTTATATGCACTGTGACCTAACCAATGCAATGGGACTAAGCTTTATGGCTTAATCTTTGATTATATATTTTAATGATATGTGATAAAATTTCAAGATATAAAACAACCTAAGTGATGTGTTTAAATTTTCAAAGAAATCAGTGATCGACTTCTAAGATTTTCAGGTTTATTTCAAAAGTTTAAAGAATTTAATGATATTTAAAATTAGTATAATAGGGACTATAAAGCCGTTATAACAAATTCGGGGATACTTCAGAAGGCTTGAGCACCAAATCAGCGAAATATTCTCTCTTCCTTCACAGACACCTTCCCACCTTCTCCTCTCCCTAAACCTCCCTATCAGTCCCAACCTCCCCTCTCTCCCCCCTATTCCCCTTCTTCCACCCGGCCCCTCTCCTCCTCACACTCCACCTCCACTAAATTTTCCATTTTTATCAAAAATCCAAAAAATTTCAAAAATAGGTGAAATTTAAGGGGTTTTGGGGTTTTGGGGTTTTGGGGTTTTGGGGTTTTGGGG